GCGAGGGGGCCCTCGCGCGTGGCCACGCACGCGCGGAATTTTCTTATTCAAGATGGCCGAGGGGGCGCCGCGCGCCCGGCGGTCCCGCGGCTTCGCGCAGGCGTGTGTGCTGTTAGTGTTCAACGTGATATGATGCTGCAGCTGTCGCCGCGCGCCGCGTTCCTGCCCCCTCGCGCATGGCGCTGCTCACTTGCAGGACGCCCCCCGCGCCGAGCCGCGCCCTGCCCCCTCGCGCGCTGCGGCCCCGCCCCTTGGTGCCAGCTTGTTCGCGTAAAGAGGGCCGGAGCCGCCGCGCGCGCTGCCCCGCGCAGGGCGCGCCAGGGCCGCCGCGCGCGGCCGCCGCGCCTGTTCGGGCATGACGCCCCTGTGACCGTGCCCATGTACAGCGGGCCCGTTGACTCGGGCGCTGTGTTCTCCTAAACCGAGGTGGCCAGGGTCGCTGCGCGCGCGGTGGCCTTGCGCCCGCGCGCGTGGCGTTCTTTTCAAGCAGATTGGGCCGGGGCCGACGCGCGCGCGGCATATCTGCGCCCCTGCGGACGTAGCTGTTCATTCAGGATTGGCCGCGGGCGCCGCGCGCGCGGCAGCTCTGCCCCCTTGCCGCGCGTTGCGTTTTCTTCGCGCGCATCGACCAGAGCCTCCGCGCGCGCGACCGCCGCGCGCCCGCGATGTTTTTCAACGCAGCACGGGCCAGGCCCGCCACGCGAGCGGCGCCCCCGCCCCTGCGCGCATCGGATTGTATTGCCGTGCAGAACTGGCAAGAGCCACCGCGAGCGCGGCGGCGCAGCTTTCTTACGCGCTGCCGTGCATTGAAACCCAGAATTGGCTGGGGCTGTCGCGCGGGAGGCGGCTATGCCCGTTCGCGCGCTCGGGTGTTCCATTCGGGAAGGAGCAGGTCCGCCAGCCCCGCGGCGGCCTTGTCCGCTCCCTCGCGCATGGCGCTGGCCCGTTCAGAATGGGCCAGGGCGTCCGCGCAAGCAGCCGCCTTGCCCCCTCTTCTCTTCCCCCCCCGCCCTGCCCCATTGCGAGCGGCGGCGGCGCTCCTGCGCTCGCGGTGTCCTGTCGCGCGCGCGGCGGCCGCGCCCCCCCCCCCCCCCCCCTCCCCATCCCCCCCCTCTCTGCCGCATGGTTCCTCCATGCATTCAAAATGAGCAGGGGGCCGCGAGCGCGGCGGCCCTGCCCATCGCGCGCGGTGTTTCAGCTCCCAGAATTGGGCAAGGCCGCTATGGGCGCGGCGGCGGAGTCACCGCGCGCGCGGCGTGCTCTCCTTCAGAAATGGCCAGCGTCGTCGCGCGCCGCGGCCCTGCCACTGCGCGCGTTGTGTTCCCCGCGCAGACCGGGCCAGCGTTGCCGCGCGTTCGCTGGCCGCCGCCGCGGCGACACCCCCCCCCGCGCATTGGGCGCGTCGGCCTCGCCCCTTCGCTACCTGGTTTGCTTTCGTCGGAGTTGGCCAGGGCGCCGCGCGAGTGGCTTCCCCGGCCGCCCGCGCGCGTTGCCGCATCCTGTTCGCATGGGCAAGGGCCGCCATGGCGGCGGCCCAGGCCCCTCGCGCGCGGCGTCGTTCCCTCCGCGATTCGCTGGGGCCGCCCCGCGCGCGGCGTTCCCGGCCCGCCGCGCGCTGTCTCTCGTCGCGCAGAATTGAGCAGCCCCCCCCCCCACACTCCGCGCAAATGCGTTATTCCCCGCGCGCGGTGGGCGGAGGCTTCCGAGCCCACGGTTACCTCGGCGCGTCGCGCATTTTATTCCGACGCGCCGAATCGGCCAAGGCCGTCGCGCGCGCGGCGCCCCGCCCCCTCGCGCATTGGTTCTTTCCCCCGCGCGGCCTCGGCCAGTGCCGCAGCGCGCGCGGCGGCCCGCCAGGTCCCTTATCCATTGCGCATGCGGCCCAGGGCCATTGCGGCGGCCAGCGAGCCCGCTTTGCAAGCGCGGGGCAGGGGGCCCGAGGGCCGCCGCTCGCACCCCGCCCCTCCCGCGCCCTGTCTCTGGACCTGGACGCTGGTGCGTGCGTTCTCGTTTCCTTACAGCATATTAGTTTTGCTCTCCAGGGCCTCTCATCGTATTGTTATGTGTTCTCCCTGGGCCCTTTGCAGGATCTGCACATTTCCCATGGTTTCCCCCGCAGAACCCTTGCCTGCTCTCCTTCGCCAACCGAATGTTCATTATTTCGATTTCGTTGACCCCGCCCCGGATCTGTATGTTTCCTGCGTGAGCGTTGCGCAGAATTCCCCTCCCATCCACTAGTGCATGCCCACTGCAAATCTCCCCGTTGCCCCGCCGAGGGGCCAGTGCACTGCGACGCGGGAAGTGCCGTCAGAGCAGCTCCTGGCGTCGCGGCAAATTGCTTGCCGAGGCAAGCGCGCCGCGCAATTTGCTTTGAAATCTGCCTTCGAACTGCTTCGCGCGGACAGCAGGGCCCCCTTGCTCGTGGTAAAGATGCAGACACACCACACAACGGACACGCATTTCACCGCCACCATCGTATTTCCCATCAGTTGTTACCCTTTTTCCGCTTTTGTCCCGTTCCGCTTCTGTCTCCCTCTTTCCCCGATTCCCTGTTCGCGTACACGGACAAACATTACCCCGCGCACACGCGCCCCCCCCCCCCCCTCTTCCTTTCTCGGCAGAGCCACCCCGGCGACCCCCCCAGAGGATGAAGCTCAGCCTCGAGGCTGTAGCTGAGGCTCCTTCGAACTCACACGCCACGGACCCCCCCCTTTCCCCCCCCGCACGCCATCGGAACCCACGCCACCGGACCCCCCCCCTCTTCCCCCCGTTCCACCCCCCTCCCCCTGCCCCGGCAGAGCCACCCTTAGGAGAACGAATAATGGCATAAACATAAAAACTCTGAGGTCCGCGCGGATTTTTCGGATCCGCGCTGGACCCCCATCCCTTGAGCGCGGAGCGCGCTAGGGGCGGCGCCGGAGGCGCCGCCAGGGGCGTCCAGCGCGGATCCGAGAAATCCGCGCGGACCTCCGAGTTTTTATGTTTATGTCACTCTTCGTTCCCCTAGCCCCGGTCACCCCTTTCCTGTAAACTCACACGCCAGATTGGCGGATTGGACGAGGAGGCGGCCTGCACTGACCAGCTGCTCGCGCTGTCGGTTTTGCGGCTTGCGGCTGTATACCGGGCCGTCCTGACCGCCGACCACGGCCACTTCGATGCAGCGGACGTGCGGGAGATGTTGCCGCAGACGCTGCGGCAGGCTGTCCGCGGCCACCCCAGGGCGACTCGTTCTCAGCATGCAGTCTGGTGTCGTCAAAGGTGCTGTGAGGCCTCCTTCCTCCTCGGTGCTCCCTTTCCTCCCTCCTCGCTTCGCCCTTCCTCGGAATCGTGGTGCCGATTTGTTGCGCGTGGCCGGCTTGACATCCCGAGGCCGTCGAAGGCCTTCCTGCTCAGGAGCATTGCGGCAGCCTCCTTCGCTTCCTCCCTCCCTCCCGCCTCCCTCCCCTCGGCTGCGCTGTGTCGCCATGTTCGTGCCTTCCGGCTGGACGCCGAGCCCGCGCAGGAGCCCCCCAGAGTCGTACGTTTCGCACTTGGTGTGACTACGCCCTCAGGCGTGGAGGTCAGTCCTTCTCCTTTCTTCTCCGCTGCTGCCTTCCGCTCCTTTTCGCCCCGCCTCTGTTTCCAGTTCGTGTCGGTGTGCCTCGACATGTCTCGCGTGCTGATCGCGCCTCACGGCGGATGTGTCTGGCCTCTCGTTTCTGTCCCGCTCCCTCCGCTCCCCTCGCCCTTCATATTCGGTGGTGTTGGGATGCCCGCCGCATGCCTGCGCCGCGTGGCGTGCTTCAGGGCCGCTATTGGCCGACCTCAGGTCTTGCCCTGGGCTTGCCCATCCGCCTCACTTGATCGCACCACGCTTTGCGCTCTAGCCGCCGATAGGTTGGCTACCGCGGGCCGCTCGTCTGGTTTGTTTCCCAGCTTCATTCAACACACTGGTGTGGGTTATTCGCCCAAGTCATGCCACGACATTGATGTGTTTGTGCCGCTGGCGCGGCCCAGGTCTGCTGCACAGTTGGCTTACAGTTGGATTTCTGCATGGCAGTGACGACATCCTTGGTCGCCGCAGTGTGAGGCTCAAGTACATCGGTGGTCGGTCGGACCCTCGGGCTGCCCGCACCTCGCATCGTGGAGTGATGTGTCCTCACCGCCTGGTAAGGCACGATTCTAGATGATACGTTGCCGGGAGTTTTCGTATCGGTATTCTCCCCCTCCGCCTGTTCCCCCTGCTTCCTCCTCCAACCGAGTCCGGGGCCACTGCAGAGCGAGCGGCCATTTATGCAGGTCATCTCTCGCAGGACAGCTTGTCGATGCGGCTGGACGCTCCAGTTCATTTCATGCGCACGGCACTTGTGGTAGCTCAGTGGCCTCACCATTGCGTCGCCGAGTCGTCTGTCATCGTGTTGCTGTGTCCGCTCCCCCCCTCCCCTCCAAAATTGAGCTGGAGAACAACGATAGAGAGAGAGAGAGGAAGAGAGAGAGAGAGAGCGAGAGAGAGAGAGAGAGAGAAAACAAGCAGACAAAAAATATATGACACCACATAAACAAAACTTCACATGCAAACGCAGAGAGAGAGAGGGAGAAAGGTATTTATATACATCTACATATAGGTAGAGAGAGCGAGAGAGAGCGAGAGAGAGAGAGCGCGAGTGAGAGAGGGAGGAAGCGAGAGAGCGCAATGGGAGAGCCTCGCGGTCGGGGCGGGTTACAACAGCGGGGTAGCGAGCAGGCATCCGAAAGCGAACTGTCGGCCCTCCTGGCGGTGCGGAGATTTGTGGGGAGGGCCCGAGCGCTCCGAGCTGCCAGAGGACCCGATCGATCCGAGCTGCCAATGTCGCGAGTCAAACACTCGTGTACAGCGTCGCTGACTCTACTTCAAGCTTCTTGATCTAACTTGTATTCATCTGGCCAAGCTTTTAGACTCAGGGCCTCAATTTCACTCCTTGGTAGCAGTGGGCTTTGTTGCCAACTCTGGAGTGAACAGGGGAAGTTTGCTGGGCGTGGAGGTCTGTGATGCTCGTGGTGCCTGAGAGCCTAATCTCTCGTGGCCTGCGTTGGATCGATACCCACATACCACCAGAGGGCTTGCCTATCTGAGCCAGAGGCCTCTGCCCCGCTTGCCGTATCTCTGTAGAACGATGCCTTCTTTGCTTGGCTTACAGGAGAACGTGCATGACATCTCCTCACATGTGTTCCACAGCATCCATGGAAGAAGCTGAAACGTCACAACGAAATGAAACCATGAGTAGGTAGCAATCTGCAAAACAGCAATTGCGCAGCCATGGCCACGGTTCATCAATCGTGCAATACTGAGTGTGACCGCACATGCCTGCACTTCAATACTGACGGCAGCGTATGCAATTTATCTTTCAGTTTTGCTTGGGCGAGTTTCATGTGTCGTGCGGCAGCTTCTCCAGATTTCGTGCGTTACGTACTCATGCTGGTTCGCCGGAGGCTGTAGATGCGGCTGGTGAGTGACTATGGTGCCGCATCCTAGACTGTTCGGGAGCATGGGGACCGAATGGCATTTGCTTTGCGCATCTGGAAAAGCTTGATTGTGCTTGTGCCATTCGTTTTCAGACTTCGTGCAAGAGAAGCCATCCATTGCCTGCACAAACCCGTGCGTTATTCGATCAGTCTGGACACTTCCAGTCGCACAGCTGCGTATCATTGCAGTTGGTTTCCGAGCTGAGATGGAAGTTGTACATTTGTAAGTGCCACTGACAATTTCACTAGGTTGCCTGATTGCTCAGATCGGTAAACCAGGGCACATGGTGCATGTTTGGATTGTTTTTGCAATGGGCAAGCCGGCTCTCACGTTTGATGGTTTGCAGTGAGAGCAAATTTCTGCATCGGTGGTTTCACTTTTCTAGGAGCCTTGCAGCAGCATTGAGTGGCGATGTAATGTGTGCTTCTAGCCAGCTTGCTTCGCGTGATCCGTCGAGCAATTATTTTCAGCAGTCTCGCGCACTCCGCTGGCTTCTATTGCACCACCGTTGTGATCTGTTTGTGAGTTCGTGACCAGTGAGGGATTGTTGAGTGGCGGTAGTTTCCCCGACCAGTGGCGTAAAGTTCGCGTTGGGGAGTATGGCAGACGCTGGGGAGATTGAGGGCAACACTTAGCGGAACACGATCCCAACGCAATCTCGACGATCAAAGCCCTAAACACGAGAAGGACATATTCTTGGATTACACAGTGACGCTTATGAAATGCTGAGCCCCTGCGTAGGCTCTGGAAGCTTCTGGGGGGTCTCTAGGGAGTCTCCAGGCTCCAGGAGGCTTCTGGGGTGTTCTTGGGGCTTCTTTGGGGCCTCGGCGACAGTATCAGTTCGCATCCCTGGTATGGATATATGCTGGTGTGTAGGTCGCGCCTTCGTATGAATGAATGCGATGGAATGCGAGGCTATTCTCGATTTGTTTCGGACTGATTCCCCGTGGCTCACCTCGAACGCGACCCCGAATGATGGATCTAGATGTGTGGAGGACAAAAGGCAAGGACGAGGGGGGAAATAAGAAGGGGGACGGAGGTGAGGGAATAGAGCAGAAGAGGGAAGGGGATAATATGGATAATGACCCTGGATGGACGATGGCTCCAGCAGAGTTTCACCAGACTCGGACAAGACGACATGACAGATGCCATCGTGCTTGGGTCGTCGTGAGCAATTCTTTGGGAGGCTTCTTGGGGCCTCAAGAGAGGGCACTCTCGGGACCTCCTGGGGCCTCCAGGGGCCTCTTTGGGGCCTCTTTGGGGCTTCTGGGGGCATCTCGGGGGAGTCTTGGGGGCCTTTGGGGGCCTCTCGGGGGCCTGCTGGCGGTCTCGACGGCAATCTTTCGGGGAAGGGCTCAAACTGTCAGTTCGGATCTCGCCTCTTGGGCCTCTCCTGGGACCTCCTTCGGAGCCTCTTGGGCCCTCTTGGGGGGCTTCCTGGACCGTCTTGGACCGGCTTGGGCCACTCCTGGGAGACTCCTGGGTTGTCTTGGGTTGGTCTTGGGAGCCGCTTACGCCGTCTTGGGTTGTCAGAAACTCGAAATGGCGAGGAGGCCAAAATGTGGCAAACACCAAAGGAAATTCAGTGATTTTGGCCTCTGGGGGGCCCTTTTGTATTGGACCATCTTGGGGCTGTCGTGGGGTCATCCCATTGACCCTGGGCCGCTATTGAGCTCTCTTGAACTCCCGTGGGGCGCTCCTGGACCGCTCTGGGAGGTCCCATGAGTGAAACCATCTCTGATCCGGGTTTCCCAGGGTTTTGCCAGGGATTGTCCCGGGCACTTTCGTCTGGAGGCCCCCATCACGGGCCGCCACGCGTGCGAACTATAAGTGCTGAGCCTCTTACCGGAAATGTTAGCACGACTTTGGCCCGTTTGGCCAGCAAATTTGTTCAGCGCGGAGGCAGGAACAGGGAGCGAGAGAGATGACGATCGTTGTGCCATCTATGCCGAAGCCACTTCTGCTCGGCCACCTGCGCATGCTGCCATGGCAGCCAGGGAGGATGCCCAAGCGGAGGCTGGACGAGCTCATCACGAGATCATCGCTTCGATGCCCACTTTGTATTAAGAATTTCGCAGTCTTCCTTCGATATGCACAGACTGCTCCTCACACGCAGGTGGTAGTGCGTGCTGCTGTCTACACGATGTGACTCGTTGCAGCGCTAAGCCGTGAATGCGCCGCAGAAGCCTGCACGAATGCAATCGGAATTGGCAGTGTTGGACATTCGACTGCGTATAAGAGTGACAGGTGAGCTTGAATGTCCCCACTGAAGGGGCCTATTTTGCAAGATGCACTCAATTTGGCCATATATGCGCATGGTGGAGTCACATTGGCGTAAGTTCTGTCTTGATGTTGTTCTCAGTGTTCTCCCGCGCGACGGCTATTGCTGCGAAACTTGAATATGAATCCGTGCCATTCCGTGCCCAGCCCGCCCGCATCACATGCCCCAGCGGCCTGACAAAGAGATTCCCCAGGAATCACGCTCCCTGGGCATCCCGTCCCACGTGCCCAAACGGCCTGGCCCTTGGAGATTCCAGGAACCCGCTCGGCCGACTAAAATGATAATTGTATACGGCAGACGATGACAGAAACGTGGCAGACGGCTATGACAGGCAGACGATTACATCAGTAACAGGCCACACCCCTTGTAATGTGACAGACATGTATGCACGCAGCGAGCGATGTAAGATCTTGGCAAACAAACGTGCAGGTTTCAATGCAATTTCTCTGCTTAAGAAGAGACGGGCAGAAACCAAGTAGACGGGACATGCATAATCATCGCAGACCCAGCGACAAGCAGAAATTCACACAAGTCAGAAGTATTGATCGACGAACTCAGTGGGAGCTAACGACACGAGCATCACATGCGTTGTTTTTTTCTCATGAGAACGACTCAGGTCCACAAAGGGCCCTGCCGCCAGCATGCGAAGCTCCAGGAAACGTGTGAGCGAGTCGACACAGTACAGCATCCATTCACCGCGAGAGCGAGTCCACCTGGCACTGCAGCTCGTTCTACAAGCTTTGTCCGCAGCCCGAAGACCAAGGCGAAGGCGAAACGCCGCGTGAGAGGACGGCTTCGTGGCGAGGGCGACCTCGCCTGCAACTAGCTCTGTCCACAGTGAGCCGCTTCGACCAGAGACGTCCTGCTGCTCACTGCGCCCCGAAGTGAATTGGTGGAGGGAGTCTGGCTCGTCGTATGGCGCCAGCTGTGATGCCTCTACCTGCGCGTCCATGATGCCGAGGGTGTGGAGCGCGCCGCCGAGGACTGAGAGCAGCGGGGGGTTGATCGGGTTGCAAGCACATGAGAACCGGCCAACCGAGCATTGCACGGCGGCAGCTGGCCAGCGCCTCTGGCAGACGTCCCGTCTGTGTACTGGCGCGGGCCCCTGGATTGGGCGGCTGGAGGAGGATGAGGACGAGGACGAGGAGGAGGAGGAGGACCAGAGTGAACCCAGCACGCTCCATGCATGTTTCACTATGCCCCTCTGTTCTAAGCCCCCTCCTCATAAGTGAAATCTAGTCCTTATTTCTACTACGGGGAGCGCCCAGTGAAAAGGTCATGGCCCCCATGGACCTGCATGATGGTAGCCTTGTGTGTGCGTGCGAAATCCTTGTAAATCGCACACTCAAATTCGACAGCGTAACGTTACGTCACGTAGTTAACGTGAGAAAAAAAGAAAAAGAGAGAGAGAGAGAGAATAAAAAACTGCCCCTCCATCCACGTAGCTAAGCAACAGCTTTGGGACAAGAGTGCGCGGAGCCGAAGCGAGGACATGTTTCCAGGAATGATTAGGAATGATCCTCCCCCCACCCGTGTAGTTATTGGAGGTTCCTGGGCATTGAACTGGAAAGCGTGAGGCGAGCTCCAGCGAGGGACAGATTTTCACTACACAGCTTGTCTGTGTAAGGGTCATGCTATTGTTTCTGTGGTCAGGTGTGAGGTCGTCCAGATCCGGAACCAGTGTCCCGTGTGGTCGCCCGTTTGGTTTCTTGTATGGTCTCCCGCATGCTCTCCCGCATGGTCTCCTGCATGGTCCGCCGTATGGTTTACCGTGTCTCCCGTGTGGGCTCCCATACGGTCTCCCAGCTGTGCAGTCTCCCATACTGCCTCCCGTGTGGTGTTCCTGCTGATCTTCCTTATTGTGCTTGCTGTATGGTCTCCCGTATGACCATGGTCTCTCTCCCTTGTGGTCTCTCGTATGGTCTACCCTATGATCTCCCCATCTGGTCTCCCTGACTGTCTCCCTTATGGTCTCCGTGATGGGCTTCCCTACTGTCCCTTTTTGGTACTGTCTAGAGATATCCGCTCTCTAATAAATTGTCGTCAATGAGTTGTTTAGGGTCTTCTTCCGCAAAGGGTGTAATTGATCATGGAACATGGGCCGCCCTCCACAAGATGTTGGGGGCATTGAAGCTTATGCATCTTTGGGATCATCAAACATGAAGGGGATCCGAGGTGAGGGTGCGATTTCGTAATCGACTCGTCTTCCATCCGTGTCGTTGCTTCCTTCTTTTTGGACAGGTGCGCGACGATACGGCGAGAGCCAAGCTTTGAAAACGGACAGCTGTCCGTCCACGTGTCAGCCAGAGATCTGTGAGACGAATGAGC